GGAAAGACTTGGTCATGGATGGGTTTTCCAGTCATGGATTTGGTCATGGATGCGGTCATGGATCCGGTCATAATTTGCCATTAAGTCATGGATTTGGTCATGTATGTGGTCATGGATCCGGTCATAATTTGTCATTAAGTCATGGATCCGGTCATGGATCAGTTCATAGTTTGCATAAGCAAGTGCAGGATATGACTGGTTGGGGTCATGAAATGCGTGGTCATGATGGGATTTATGATGGGATTTATGACAGGTCATGGGACCGCAATATGACCGTATTCAGTCATGGCTGCACTTTATGACCCCATGAGGTCATAAAGGTGGTCATGTACCTGCTCATGAATATGCAGAACATGACCAGGTCATATTGCGCATGGTATTCCATGATGGAACAATGCAGGCCATGACCACCCTGGCCCATGTTTTGCACTCATTCCATGAGTCGTACACTGCACTCCATGACTACCCGGGCCCATGTTTTGCACACATTCCATGAGTCGTACACTGCATTCCATGACCACATTGGCACATGTTTTACATTGTTTACATGAGTCATACACTGCACTCCATGACCACATTGGCACATGTTTTGCACACATCCCAGAAGTTGTTCACTGTGGGCATATAAGTCTTGACCAGCAACCCATCAATATGTGGGCTCCAGACTCCAAGTCTGCTATCACAAATAAATGTATGTACTCCAAAACTCCACACTGTTAAGGTGACAAACCTCAATGTTTCAGTGGACCACTCAGGTAAATCACCCACCAGCGCTGCTAGCAGCATCCTATAAAGTAAGCCGGATTACCTGCAGCTCAACTACATTCCTGAACCACAACTGCCTTCCACTATCAATATCATAACTATGAACTTCACTCCTTGCAGGTCTCAATCCGTAAACCTCCAGGGACTTAAGTGTGTGCATTAGTAGTAATGCCTGACCTCATACATTTCTCTATATGCCACCAAGCCATCTATTACAGGCCACAAAGATTGTCAACTCCAGCATCCCGCTGCATGCCTGCTAACCCACCGCCTTGCACTTCCCCAGCAGTCTCTTCCTTGCTGGCCCCTGCTGGCCACCTTTGCCCAGCTTGGCTGCTTCTTTCACTGCAGCAAGCTCAGCCCGCATCTGGTGAGCAGTGATGGCAGTGCACCACGTAGTTTCATGGTCAGGCATCCCATATGCACCACCACCAGTGCCACCCGTCGCCATGGTGTCCCCATACTCTGCGATGACATCGTCAAGTCTCTCGCCAATCAGGTCCTCCAGGTAGTCACCCTCTGGCTCACAACCAGCTGGCCCCATAATTGTTTTGCCAGCAATCACAGCCGCCTCCGGTGCAGCCATGGCCATCTGAGCTGAGACCTGCTAGCAGAACATCAAGATGTGAGCATATGTACGGCCCAAAATGCATGATACTCGTGCCCTGCAATGTTCAGGAACCTACAAGCAACTGCATGACATGTGCCATGGATACATCCACAATGACATGTCATAATACATCATGTCATAACCCATACCCCGTGTACCTGCTGCTGCTTTGGTGGCACCACTGTTCATCGCACCCATCATGACGGCTGGGGCCGTGGCAGGGGTCTGGCAGGATCCCTGCAAATGCAGCATATGAGCAGAATTCATATAGTCTGTTGGGATAATAGTTTAGCAGCTGGAGGGATGCTCGGGGGGCCCTTCCTCATCCATTCTCCCAGTCATCTGAAGAGATGGAGGATTCAGTAATCACCACCTATCCAGCGTGCGAACCTGACCAATCATACAAGGAGTCATGTGGGGTTTCCAAGCATGCAACTGCAGCTGCAATAAATGCCACACTTACAGTTTGTGTGGCAGTACACAAACTCGATGGCATCCTTCCACTTACTCTGTGCAGAAGCCGATGTACAGTGGTGCCTTGATGGACAGAGGCAGGTTCGATGCCTTGATTGTGGCCTGCAAGCAAGTCAGTGCTTCATGAGTGTGTAGTGACACGTTGTGCTGCTGTTAGGGGCCTTACCCGGCAGAACCTCTCATTGAAGTTGTGTTGGACAACTTCATCCATGACTTTAACAACCTCTGCAACAAAATCCCGGTCCCAGGCACCCCGCTGCTTGCATCCCTTGGCGAATATGTCATCCTTGCTCTTCTTGCTTGATTTTAAATTTGCACTTCTCTCTCCTGGGAAGCTGTGGGGTTCCAAGGGAAGAAGGAACAAGGCAATTCCCAGGTTGTCATGCTTATGCTTTTAAGGGCCACAACAGCAGCTTTAAACCAGCCATCTTGGCAAAAAAGAAAAGAAAATTCAGTGCATTTCAGTTAGAAAGGGCTAAGCAGATTGAAGTCGGCTGCTGGCTGGGAATCACATTTAAATGCCATTGTGACGGCAGGTCAACGAACACACCGTT